TCGCGTTCAGGGTTTAGGGCTTAGGGGGGTTGCAGAAACGTGTGGCCGATGCCTTCGTCCGGCATGACAGGCTGTGACTGTGTCAGGGACGTCCCAAGTCTTACCGAATCTCACGGGTCCTAGTCCTGCTGCATCCCCCTGTCCAGACAGATCAAAGTTTATGGGTTTTTCTCCGGCAGTAACTTGATGCAGCAACTAAGCACCCGCTCAACGGCCCGGTCGACGCCCTACAAAACCCTCACTCCAATCAGTAACCTCGGAAGATTCCCCGCCCGGCCCCCCTCGGGACAACACTGGCAGGGATCGGTGGCTGGCATTTTGGCCGAACACGGCTTCTGCTCAAATTCAGGGCTCGGGCTTCCGACTGCAGATATTTCGGGCCAGGACAGGCCGTTCTGGCTGGCAGTGCTCCAAGCTAAACCTTGCCACCGACCTTTAACCAAAGAGAGAGAAACCCCAGTGTGAAAATCTCAACCGCGTGAAGCCCTTGAAACGATCGGCCTGGAGCGCGGCTTCGCACGCGACGGGTCATGTGCACTGGGTCAGAACCTCCGAGACATGAGATAGCTCTCCTTCATCAGATATTAGATATTCTTTACAGGGGATGACTTAGGTGTTGCTGAGGGTCCTGGCTGGAAGCACCACGGCTTGGAAGGCGAATGTGTACATATTTTACATATATACATATAATATATATATATATATGTATGTATATATATATGTATATATATATATATATGTATATGTGTGTGCAATATATCCGTACATGATCTGATGCAAGCCAGAACGTGAATTGCACGTGCCTTCGGACCAGTTGGCAGAGTGTCGCCGACGCTCCTGCCATGGCAAACAGAAGCAACAACAGAGATGACTTAAGAACTATTTGTGGACGAGGTCGTGGAGCAGTCTGGATCCAAAGTCCTCACTCTAAGCTCGCATGGGGGGATCCGGCAGAGAAGTCTCGCTTCCTGTAGCACGCAGCCGCGTGCCTGCACCCATCGCCTTTGCATGTAGACGGCGGTTAAGCCAACGATCATGGTGAAGCAGGTCAAGAGGCTCAAGGAGATGATGGCCCAGAGCGGGATGAAGTCCTCGGAAAAAGGGGAAAAGGGGTTAAGGGTTCAGGGTTTAGGGGAAGGCACGCTCTCTTCTCAAGTTCAGGTGAAGGCATACTGTATCATGTCAGGCTTTTGGAATACTTTGCCTCAACAGTCGCTGTGTTGCTTCAGTTACCTTCAGTTACAGTGGAAGAGGTATGCACGGGTTTAATGAAACGATACCCCCTTGAAATGCCCGTTTGCTGTCCTGCACCGTAGGAGCTGACGGTGTCGCCTTCAAGACACGCATCGTGTGCGAGCACTTTGCAGAAGCAGATGAATGCAAAGGCGGTCAGCCTCCGACTCCTCCACCGCAAGCAGGCTCACCTCGAGATTGATGATGCAGCTCTCAAAACTCAACTCCCATCTGGCGGCAGCAGGCCTCCAAACCCTCGAAGCAGCACAACCCAAAACCCTAAAACCCTAGAACCCTAAAGCCCTGAAACCCTAAAACCCTAAAAACCCTAAAACCCTAAAACCCTAAAAACCCTAAAACCCTAAAACCCTAAAACCCTAAAACCCTAAAACCCTAAAACCCTTAAACCAAAACCCCAAACCCAAAGCACCCAACAATCTCGGCAGAGTTGCGCTGACCGGTCCCACAGAAATGGCGCTGGAGGCCACCGAGGAGAGCCCTGGAAGAGAGCTGAGGGTTACTTGTGCCGTTGGTTAGTAGGAGATGAGGGGATGAGGGTAACCTAGATAATCCCTATATATACCCCTTTAAGGGACTATAGTACCCTACATAGTCCCTATATATACCCTTTAAGGGATTGTATTACCTCATTCCCTCATTCTCTACTAACCAACAGTAGGGTTTAGGGTGATTAACGGCGTTCAGACTTGGGACGCGCAGGCAGGTGGAAGGGTGCCAAGGGTCCAGGTTACTCTCAGTCAGAGGAAGTGAAGAACCCTAAACCCTAAACCCTAAACCCTAAACCCTAAACCCTGAACCCTGAACCCTGAACCCGAAACCCAATATGATGCTAAGATGCACCTTGTATGCCAGCGAGCCCGACGATCAAGTCTCGTTGAAGCGCGCTGGCCTCCGACTGAGACCATGACCGCTTTGCAAATGCAGGGTCCAGAGAAAGAACAGAGCATCTCTGTGCTTTTTTGCATGGCACCACTCGCATCCACTGACCACTGCTCTGGCAAATGCACCCATGCTTCATACTTTCCTACAATCCCACAAGAGTTCAAGACGTCCCCACATTCTTGAAACCTGACTCCTGCCACTGTAGAATGCTACAGCTTTCTGCAGTCATACTCACTCCCTTTACATTGTATCTAACGCTCGATTGAACACTCCAATGCTGCCGATGTGCCTCTTCTCGCATCCCATCCGCGAGCGAGGAAGTGGCAGCCACGACAGTTTCCTGACGCATCAAACTAGATATCACGAGCAACTGGACCCCCGTCCCATGTGTATGGCATGCATTACATGTACATAGGCGATTTTTAAATGTGGTAGCAGCAGCATCGTTGCTTCGCACATAAATCTGTGCTTTCTCCGGCATTCCAGTCTGAGGTAGCAGCCCCTGCTGTGGCCACGGCAGCCATGCGGGCTTGGACCTCAGCTCCACGGCAGAATTGACACTGAGACACCCAGACATTAAGACACTTTCCAGCAACTTCGGTGTTTAAACTGACTGAATGAATATACAAATCTGAAATAAGCATGAAGCTGTGTATACTCTCTCTACATATATATATATATGTATGTATACACACATACATATATTATGTATTTATCTGTATTGATTTATCTATTTGTGTATATGTATATAGAAACATGTGCTCAAATGCAAAGAGCATGCCCAGGGCGCTGACCACCACCGAGCCGGGAGAGAGTTGAAGAACCAGGTCCTGACATCAACATGAGGCAGGGTTTAGGTTTAGGGTTTAGGGTTTAGGGCTTAGGGCTTCGGGCTTAGGGCTTATGGGTAAGGTTGTTTAGGGTTTAGGGTTTAGGGTTTAGGGTTTAGGGTTTAGGGCTTAGGGCTTAGGGCTTAGGGGTAAGGTTGTTTAGGGTTTAGGGGGTTTAGGGGGTTTAGGGGGTTTAGAGGGTTTATAGGGTTTGTAGGGCTTATAGGGCTTACAGAGTTTAGGAAGCCATGGCCCCTTGCAGCTAGATCCGAGAAGTAGAACCCCCAAAAAACACCCTATAAGTACTCACTTGGCGCCTCCTGAACAACCTTACCCCTAAGCCCTAAGCCCCCTAAACCCTAAACCCTAAACCCTAAACCCTAAACCCTAAACCCTAAACCCTAAACCCTAAACCCTAAACCCTAAACCCTAAACCCTAAACCCTAAACCCTAAACCCTAAACCCTAAACCCTAAACGAAAGAGGAAGCTTGCTGGCCTCTGCACTCCGATTCGCGCGAACGGCCGCTCCGAGAAGTGAGCCTGGCACCACGCAACTCAAGCTTGAAAGGAGGGCTTAGGGTTTAGGGTTTAGGGTTTAGGGTTTAGGGTTTAGGGTTTAGGGTTTAGGGTTTAGGGTTTGGGGTTTGGGGTTTAGGGTTTAGGGTTTAGGGTTGACGGTTCAGGGCTTCGGCTTTGGGGTTCTCGTTTGTGGCAATAGGGGGGATTTAGGCTTTGGGGCTGTTTGGGGCTTCGGGTCGTTTGGGCTTATGGTAGTCGGTTTCGACTTCGCTGGAAATCTAAACCCTAAACCCTAAACCCTAAACCCTGAACCCTGAAACCCTAAACCCTCAACCCTGGGGGCCTCTGACGACTTGCTTGAACTGCCCCAGCAAGGCGCTGTCTGCAACGAGCTGGAGGAAGTCCAGACCTTCGACCTGCAAGGAGGGAGGGCATTGAGGGTTTACAGGGTTTGCAGGGTTTAGGGTTTAGGGTTTAGGGTTTAAGGTTTAAGGTTTAGGGTTTAGGGATTAAAGATTCGGGTGGAAAGGCTCAGGAAATCAGGAATTTGAAGTTTCGGGTTGAGGGCTTAGGGTGGGTTAAGTAAGTCAGGGTTTGGAGTTGGCATTCTTGGGCTCAAAACCCTAAAACCCTAAAACCCTAAAACCCTAAAACCCTAAAACCCTAAAACCCTAAAACCCTAAAACCCTAAAACCCTAAAACCCTAAAACCCTAAAACACTAAAACCCTAAAACCCTAAAACCCTAAAACACTAAAACCCTAAAACCCTAAAACCCTAAAACCCTAAAACCCTAAAACCCTAAAACCCTAAAACCCTAAAACCCTAAAACCCTAAAACCCTAAAACCCTAAAACCCTAAAACCCTAAAACCCTAAACCCCTACAACCCTAAAACCCTAAAACCCTAAAACCCTAAAACCCTAAAACCCTAAAACCCTAAAACCCTAAAACCCTAAAACCCTAAAACCCTAAAACCCTAAAACCCTAAAACCCTAAAACCCTAAAACCCTAAAACCCTAGAACCCTAAAACCCTAAACCCTAAAACCCTAAACCCTAAACTCCAAACCCCAACCTGACATCCTGCCTGGAACTGCACCCCAACGAGCAGGGACTCAGTCATATCGGTTCCCTTCGAGGTGACCGGGATCGAGCTCGAGGTGGATGTCCTGGAGTCTCTGAAGTGCAGTTCGTCCCACGACCATAAAAAACGAATGTTACAAAAGCAATTACAAAATGAAAGCAATAATAAAAATAATTTATAGAAATATATATTATATTACCATAATCATGTAATATAGTAATATGATAAGATACTCATGTCTATACGTTCGTGAAAGCAAAATTATTGTGGCACTGCTTTTCTGGGGCCCCGTGCTGCGTTGCTCTTGCCTGGTCCTTGCAAGCAACGCGTGCTGCTATGTGGGGTGGGGAATCCATGGTCACAGTAGCACGCTGAAGCCTCTTTTCCTGCGAGCCTGTGTCACGGTGTGTCACGGCCTACGGCGCCTAGGGCATCATGGCTTCCCGGACGGCAGCAGCGGCCCCTTCTCCCCAGGCTCCTCTTTCTCAAGAGCCTCGCGCTCCATGCTGTAGAGGATCCCACCCAGGATGGTGATGCTGGCCCCAGCCACCTGCAAAGGGCTCAGCGCTTTCGCGTGGAGGCCGAAAGCTTCGATGCCGACGATCACGAACTTGTTGGCATTGACCATGACCAGGAAGCTGGTGGCGCTGATCAGGCTCTGTGCCCAGACCCCTGTGTAGCTGAGGGACACACCGATGAGACAAGACAGGAAAATGTAGAGGACCCCCCAGGAACTTAGTGACGCATAGGCCTGTGACAGTTGAGCAGCTTCCCCGTGCATCAACACAAGCAAACCCACCGGCAAAAGCCCACAGAGGTTGTTGATGAGGATTACGCCGGGTCTTGAGATGTCGACGGGTTGCTGATCTTTGGAAAGCAGGAGCCGCTGCAGTAGCCGGTCTCCGACAGCCACGGCACTGTTAAGCAGGACCCACCCAACACCTTCCAGGTGTTCGTGGGGGAGCTGGGACACGTACATGCCCGCGCCGGCCACCATGATCATGATGCTGAAGAGCATCGGGGCACTGATCCTCAACGGGGCCGGGTAGAAGCGCTCGATGGCCAAAGCGGCCAGGGGCGAGGCATTCCGCATGACGATGATGAGAGACATGGGCGCGCTTTTGAGTGCCAAGATGGACGTCATCAGCATGCCGCAATAAAACGGAACCACCGCGGACCATCTGCACAAATCCCTGAAGCTGCCGATGTGGATCGAAGGCCATGCGAAACAGAGGATCACGAGCGTGGCAAAAGCCAGCTGCATCCACACAAGACTGCACTCCAAGGGGAAGGCCTCGATAGCCAACTTGTTGTACAACAGCATCCCGACCGAGGAGAAGCAATTGCAGGTGCAGGCAAGCAAGGTTTCCGCACGCGCGGGTGGCGTGCGGGCGGCCGCGACTTTGGACCGGGCATTCATCTGAAACTACGAAACGAACAACGTAGGGGTAGAACGTAGGATCCTGACAGAGACTGGCGAGGGCGGGCGCTTAACCTTCCATGCCAGACCACAGCATGATGCACGTTGCATGCAGGGGCCGTTCAGAGTACGCAAAGATCTCATTCTACGATACTTTGATCTACTGTATTCGTATTTACATGATGTAGTAAACTTCTCCAGTATAAGACTGTTTAGTAGGTTATGCAGCTATTGGAATACTTTTCCTTCTGCTTCAGGGCATTAAAAGTTGGCCCATGATCTAGATCAGCGCACATACACACTCGTTTAGCACCATCTTTGATCATCTTTGGACTACCCATGTCTCCCTGCACTGTGCACTGGCACTTAAAGAAAAGGGCAAATTATTTCTGCGCATTTGAAGAGTGTGAAGGCGACGGGCACAACACCAAAGGCAGCCTTATGCATTTTGTTTTGGTTTCCTTGGCTTCGCTGGCGCAGGGTCATTGCTTTGCCATCGTGGTAGACGACTGCGCGGCCTTTGCTACCTTTTGCACCTCAGCTTCATTCCTACAAATGCATCACATGGGGGTTTTCGATATTCGGGGTACCTTGTTGGGGTCCTTATCAGGGAATCCTACTATTTGGGGATCCCTTACTTTCGTTTAAGCCCCTCAGAACTCTTACTGGGTTACTGGGTCTTCATCCAAGGGTCTTTGGCCGTTGCAGTTGCGGCTTACACCTTCGGGGGCACCAACTGTTTCCTCTCTTCGGCCTCCTGCTCGATGTAAGAGCGAGCCTTTCCGTACGAAATCCCTCCTGCAGGGCTTCAACTCTTCGCAGCGCGTGCGGAGAGACTTCTCGAAAAAAAGCAAGAAGAACTGGCAGAATTCTGTCATCTTGGTGCATATATGGACTACCTAAGACCGTGTCCCGTCCCACCTAGGATCGACACGCAGGCGCCCAGGAACTGTGTAAGTGTGAGGACCTCAACACGGCTTCTGCGCGAGATTGCAGGGAACATGGCTCTCTCTGGGATGCACACGAAACCGTAGACTACAACGACAATGGGTTCGCGACTATGGAAGACCGCGAGCCATGCTTGGGATCCTAAACCCTAAACCCTAAACCCTAAGCCCTAAACCCTAAACCCTAAACCCTAAACCCTAAACCCTAAACCCTTGTGTCAAGCTGCCTTGGTGTGCATGCCGAAAGCCTCGATGCAAATGATCACGAACTTGTTGGCATTGACCATGACCAGGAAGCTGGTGGCGCTGATGAGGCTCTGTGCCCAAATGCCCGTGTAGCAGATGGAGAGGCCGATGACACAACTGAGGCCGATGTAGACCTTGTCCGTGATGCTGAGGGCGGCGTACTTGAGGGGTAGCTCTGCAAGCTCTCCCTTGGCCCATGCTGCGATGCCGACCGGTACGAGGCCCATGCTGTTGTTGATGAGGGTGATGCCCGCCTTCGAGATGTCCACGGGCTGCTGATCCTTGGACAGCAGGAGACGCTGGAGGCAGCGGTCCATCACTGCAATGAAGCTGTTCAACAAGATCCATCCGATGCCCTGGTAGTGCTTTGAGGGGAGGTCCGAGACGTACAGGAAGGCCCCCATAAGCATCATGAAGATGGAGCCTAGCATCCAGGGGCTGATGCGCAGCGGCTCTGGGTAGAACCGCTCGATGGCGAGGGAAGCCAGCGGCGACGCGTTGCGCAGGACGATGAGCAGCGACATCGGGGCATTCTTCAGCGCCAGGATGGACGTCAACAGCATACCACAGTAGAAGGGCACGACGACACACCATCGCAGGAAGTCTTTGAGAGAGCCGATGTGAAGGTACGGGAAGGCAAAGATGAGCATAAAGGATGCAGCGAAGAAGAGCTGAACCCAAACTAAGCAACATTCGAGCGGGAAGGCCTCCACTGCCAGCTTGTTGAAGAGGAGCATGCCCACGGAGGAAAAGCAGTTGGAAGTGCAGGCAAGGAGGATCTCAAGCTGCTCCATCGACCAAGCCATCGTGGAAATTGCTTCAGATCACCGGGTTGGTTCGTATGGATGGACGGCGTGCTGGCGTTAGTATCGGGTGATAGGACTGGGCTGGGACGGCCGAGCCATCACAGCTGCCGCGAGCAATCTGCTGACGCTGCAAAACCGCTACTGCCACTCACACAGCGTCACAGTGGCTGGCTAGAAGCAAAGCCGCTGCATATCTATGAGGCCTGGAATATGCAAACGCAGCGCGAAGAGTGCAATTAAGCCCGGTCCGTCGTCCCCGCGTCGAAGATCGCCTGGAGCGAAGGGCAACGCGCTCACCCAAGAAACAATAAAAAAAACCGAACCCAATTCCATGTACTTCCTTGAACCCTATCTCTAGAACCCTAAGAATGAGCCCTACCTCTCAAACCCCAAGAATGAGCCCTAACTCTCAAACCCCTAAGAACGAGCCCTGACTCTTGAATCCTAAGAACGAACTCTTGAGCCCTCAAAATGAGCACTGAAGAATGAGCCCTAACTCTCAAAACCGAAGAATGAGCCCTAACTTTCAAAATCTAAGGATGAGCCCGAACAGCACCTCTACTAGTCACCTCTTGCCTGCCTCTTCGCCCAGGCTGCGCCACACCGCCCGCAGCCGCGGCAGTTCACCGCCAGCTCCACAGGTGGCGTCAGAGGCTGCCTGCGCTGCGTCGACACGCCGGCATGCATGCTTGAACCTACAAGGGAAGGGGGGAAAGGGGTTAGGGTTTAGAGTTTAGGGTTTCGCGTTTAGGGTGCTACTATTCTTCCATGACTATTCCTTCGGTCGCAGCCAACCAACGGTAAGTGAGGGGTGGGCGACGAGGGTTCGGCTCCAGGGCATGGGGCAAAACCTTGGTCGACCCACGCGATGCCGCACGGTGCCCGACTTTGCTCAGGCATTTGCGCCAAGCATATCTACATATGAGTGTGTGTGTGTGTATAATTCGGCATATCCAATATTGCAAAAGCCTCCCTAAACTCTAACCTTGATACACCCTACGCCCTGAAACCAGGAAAGCCCTACAGGATCCTAAGGCCCAAACCTCAAATGGTGGCTTCTGAAATGGGGGTACCTTCTTGGGGGTCCTCTTCTACTAGGGAATCCTACTATTTTAGCCCTAAACCCTAAACCCTAAACCCTAAACCCTAAACCCTAAAACCCTAAGTCTATTTTAGGGGTCCCCCTATTTTCCCCAGAGAATCCCTCTCAGCCGGCCCCCCCCTGCCATGCCTGGCCTGCACTCCCACCACGAAATCCCCCGGCCCTTGCACCAAGGCCCCGGAGAGCGCCAGCTCAGCGCGGGGCTGGCCTGGGAACTCAGAGAGTCAGAAGAACAGGAAGAAGAAGATGATGAGGATGATGACGACGATGCTGATGATGATGATGATGATGATGATGTTGATGATGATGTTGTTGATGATGATGAGGATGATGATGTTAGGGTTTAGGGTTTCGGGCTTACGGTTTAGGGTTCAGGATGAAGATGGTCATGATCATGATCTTGACCGTTACAAGTTATAACGATCATTGGCGCCGTCATGTTTTGCTATTCATGCTTCTTGCTGGCAATAGAACTTGTGCTAGTCATTATTGTTGTTCTCAGCAACTGTGGTGGATATGCTTGTCGTCTCATTTAGGGCATGACTTCCAGTTCTGAGTACTAGGATTCTGCTCACTATGACGCTGGGAAACTCCGTAATGATTACGGTTGTGATCAATAGGATCACTAAGGCACTAAGGCACTAGGGCCACTAGGGTCACTGGGCTTATTATCATGCCGGCTACTGCGACTACTGCTATTGTTTTTGCCAACTGATGAAAAACTACACGGAGATCGACCCCGGTACACGTACATGCGACGCTCGATGCCTTGCTTCGGTCGGGTCCACAGGCATTTGCACCAGGCGCGTCGGCTGATCGCTGCACAGAGGAAATCGACATATGAGTAGTCCCAAAAGGGACCCGAATTCAGCGAACTACCCGCATGAACTCAACGTGTGTGAGGCGTCACGTTTCCCCTTGATTTGGGGGGGCGCGTTCGAATGGGAGTCGAGAGCCGCCCCAATATCAGGAGAATCATCGAAGAAGGGAAGTTGTACATTGCATCGTGTTTGGATGTTGTATACTATGTCTATTACTTACTGCATAATGAAGATGGAATACACATATGCATTGTCGTATTGCAGTGCACTCCTCTCGGAGACGAGTTCTCAAGGCACCTATCATTTGCACGGTCGGCATGTATAAGACCATTCAATTCAGGCCAGTGGAGAAGAAGCTGCTTCTAGAAGCATGAGGCACAGCACTCACAGCACCTACCACAACCTACTGCTGCCGTTCAATCTTGCTGGGATACAGGCGCTGCTCATCCAGCAGCTGTGCTGTTTCGCCCCCCTCGTACACCAAATACTGTCCTGGCTTGCGCATGGCACTCACCGCGCCGAACAATGGGCAAGCAAACTGCATCTAGCTAGCCGGCACGATGGATATCTGCCTAGGCTGCCTTTCTACATCAGCACATAACAACATAACATTCACGAATGAAAAACCCTGCGCGATGCCTCGAGCGGTCCGGCAAAAACAGAACGGAAAGTGTCCAAACAAACCCAGACCCCAAGACATCTGATCGTCTTGCCGTGTGTCGAGGCGGGATACAGCCGCTTACCGTCATGGTCGACAGGACCTGGCTGACTGCTGGAGATGCACAACTGTACAAGTTACATGATGTACACTTTGTCGTGGCAATGGCATTGGCTTCTGCAAAACCGAGTGAGATACTTTTCGCGGGGAATGTTATATCGAACAAATGTGCAGTCAGACAAGCCCCGAAACGACTTGGCTGCTTCAGAAGCCACGAATCACTTCTCGCCTCGCCAGTGGTCTTGTGCTTAACGCGTACAGTGGGGTTTGCCAAAGGCGATAGGACCTGAGCGGCACGATGCCCTGAACCGATTCTGTCGTAGAGCACTTCAATCAAGAATCAGCTGCTGCCAATGCAAAGAAGGAGATTGAAGAGAGATCAGCGCAGAACTAGCGAACGTCTCGGAAGCTAAACTGGAATTGGGACGATCGCCTGGTGCCCGGGCGCCTCAGCACCCACCCGGCTTCACCAGACAGGCTCCTGCTGTGAAGCCCGGCGAACTGAGCACCCTGCGAGGCCAAACCCAAACATGGGAGCCCAACTCCCCGTATCTTGGCATCCCGGCGTTCTGCACGGCCACGGCGTTCTCACATGAACCGCCGCCTGCGCCAGGCTGTGCCGGACAGCCTTCTTGCTACCCTAAGAACCCAACACTTTTGTTATTAGCCAAGTCCGATAGACAACCTCTTTATAAAGGTTCGCGACTTGTGCTTGAGTAAGAATCATCCCTGCAGAATGAGACCCTGAGTCCGCGGCCTGCGCGCCAGCCCCGAGCAGGGTTCCCACCGCACGCGCTGATGCGGAGGTCGCATCCCCTCTGGCATTAGGCAAGGGGTTTGAGGGGCTGAGTTTCAGAACCGTAACAACCGTGGGCGTGTTTCCGTGAGGTTTCGCATTTTGAGTAGCCCCCTGATATGTTATTATTGCTATATTATATTATATATTTTTTGTTTATTTTTTACACTCTTTTTTTTGAGGGGGAAAGGGGGGGGGGGGGAGGGTTGGCAAAGCACAAGGCTTTGGGGTCAGGGGTTGAGAGCTTCAGGGGCTTAGGATGTGCGTTGTTGTGCGCTGCCTGTCGGTCTGACAGGTGCGAAGTGAGTTCCCAAAACGAAACACTCAGCCCACCAAGCCCTAGGCTAAACCACCCTCCCCAAACTCCCGAAACCCCCCCCCCCCCCCAAAAAAAAACCTATTACACCCCCCTAAACCCAATAACTTCGGCGCCAAACCCTAACCCTGAACCCTAAACCCGAACCCTAAACTCCCTAAACCCTAACCCTCAACCCTCAACCCTCAACCCTCAACCCTCAACCCTCAACCCTAACCCTGAACCCTAAACCCTAAACCCTAAATCCTAAACCCTAAACCCTAAACCCTGAACCTGCCTCTAAGAGCGGCTGCAGACCCAGGAGCTGCAGCTCCGAGGCAAACTGCTCCTTTGCTCGTTGGGCTTCCGGGGGGCTTTAGGGGGTTTAGGGTTTAGGGTTTAGGGTTTAGGGTTTAGGGTTTAGGGTTTAGGGTTTATGGGTTTATGGTGCAGGGTTCAGGGGGTTTAGGGGTTTCTGTTGTGTCCTCGGGAGTTTTCATGAGGTTAGTTCAGGTTTTGTATTTTGTTCTAGGGGTTTTCGTGAGGTTTAGCTCAGGACTTGCCCTTAACCCATGAATTCCCAGGAGGTTCAGGCGCCTTAGGGTTTAGGGTTGAGGGTTGAGGGTTTAAGGTTTAGGGTTTAGGGACGCATGGGTGTTTTGGGGCTTCATGAGGGGCAAGAGGGGTCAGGGTTCCAGGGTTATGTGAACAGGTGCGGGGAGTGAAGAGGTTTGCAGGGCATAGATGTGCACTGTAGGGTCGAGAGGCGTAGGGCCTGGAGTCTAGGGGAGGGGACCCCTGCCCGGTCAAGCTGTCATCTTAAACCACCCCGAAATCCTCAATTTCAAGGGTCTTCACCGAAATTATCGGCCCTTTGAGCGTCGCTACTATAGTATCCTTATCCTTATATTCTTGGTAGTTTAGGATTGCTCAAGGTGCAACAGTGGATATATCTTTCATCAACCTGCCACGTCCAACCCCGCCACCCCATACAGGAGGAGGCTGCTGCGCCTCGGACTCCTCATGAGATGTGAGGAGAACCTCGCGCCTGGCAAGGATGAGGCGCGCTCAGCGCGAGAAGGCAAGCTTTGCACTGGCTACCTCTTATAATATTTATAACCCCCCCACCCCCAATTACAATCCCTCCAATAGTAAACTATAGAAAGAATCAGTCTACGGGCTTTCAAGCGAGTCTTATGTGGTGTGTGAACAGATTCAACAGTGGCTGTATCCAGGACGCCAAGTACAGATTCACAGTACGACGCCGG